GGGACACCGAACAGGTATACTAGATCAAACTATACTAATAACTAACAAAACAGATCTCACCACGTCCCTTAGAACAGCAGGATCGGCAGTCACAGTCAGCACTCTCCAAACTCCCACGTGGTAGGACAGCGGACTCTGCAGGCCTCAGCCTCAGATAAGCGAGACCAACGCAGGGACCCACTGTTCCCAGACCTCGCCGGAAGAGAAGAGAGCGAGGTGTCTAATCTCCGACTTATTTATACTCTGGTTTACGTAAAAATTGTGTGGAATACTGGGTACTTGGCTCCTTCCTTGGTTACAAACTGGTCACCAAGGAAGGCCTAGACTAAAACCATCATATTCTCTACCTCTTATTCCATACTATTTTTACGTAAAACTTATATTTCGCGTTCATTTGTATTCTGCGCATATATACACATATACATATTTGTATATAGTTCTTGTTCATTTTTCAGAGTATTCATTTTCTTGTAGAAGAATCAGCGTCAGCATCAGGATTGGTTTGGTTTTCATTCTTGGCCTTTAGGTCACAATCACAGTTCTGGTTTTCAGGGTTTCTCCTCTGGTCTCGGCTGGTTTATTACTGGATACCGGCATCAATTGTTCAGGCCTTTCTCATTTGGTGACTGGTTTCCTGCAAAACACAACTCAAAGCACATGATTAGTTTTTCCTCAAGGTTAAATTTCCTTGGGGCACGCAGTGGATTTCTCCATTCTTTTTCATTACCCACCAGGTATTTCCGGGCCCTTGAGCGAAAACAATTTCACGAATGGGTTTGTCTTGGCCTGTGGAAGGAGTAATCCAAACAGCTTTTCCTAACATACCTCTTAGATGGATTACTGGAATTTTGTCTCCATCTACAGTGTGGAGGGATTCTGCTTGGGCAGGACCAGCTCGATTGACAGAGCCTCTAGTGTTAACAAGCCAGGTGGCCTTGGCTAAGTGCTTGTCCCAGTTTTTGAAAGTTCCCTCACCTAGTGCCTTCAGAGTTGTTTTTAACAGTCCATTACACCTTTCGACTTTTCCAGCAGCGGGTGCATGATATGGAATGTGATACACTCATTCAATACCATGCTCCCGTGCCCAAGTGGCCACCAGATTATTCTTAAAATGAGTTCCGTTGTCTGACTCAATTCGGTCTGGAGTGCCATGTCTCTACAGGACCTGCTTTTGAAGACCTAGAATGGTATTTCGGGCTGTTGCATGTGGTACCGAATATGTTTCTAACCATTCAGTAGTCGCTTCCACCATGGTAAGCACATAGTGTTTATCTTGGCGGGTTTGTGGCAATGTGATGTAATCAACCTGCCATGCTTCTCCGTATCTATACTTGTCCCAGCGTCCACTATACTACAGGGGCTTCAACCTTTTGGCCTGTTTAATGGCAGTACAGGTTTCACAGTCATGAATAACTTGGGAAATAGTGTCCATGGTTATATCCACCCCTTGGTCTCATGCTTATCTATAGGTGGCATTTCGGCCCTGATGGCCTGAAGCATCATGGGTCCATCGAGCTAGGAACAACTCTTCCTTTTGCTGCCAGTCTAGGTCTACTTGTGACACCTCGACTTGTGCAGCTCGGTCTGCCTGTCTGTTATGAGCTTGTTCCTCATTAGCTCGATCCTTGGACACATGGGCATCTACATGGCGGATTTTCACATTCAGTTTCTTTGCTCTGGCAGTAATGTCTTGCTACAAATCGGCAGCCCAGATGGGTTTTCCTCTACGTCTCCAATTCATTTTCTTCCACTTGTCTAGCCATCCCCAAAGGGCATTGGCTATCATCCACGAATCGGTGTATAGGTAGAGCTTTGGCCATCCTTCTCTTTTTGCAATGTCCAGGGCCAATTGGACAGCTTTGAGTTCTGCAAACTGACTCGATTTACCTTTACCTTCAGTGGCCTCTGCCACCCTTCGGGTGGGACTCCACACAGCTGCTTTCCACTTCCGGCTCTTTCCTACAATGCGGCAAGAACCGTCAGTGAAAAGGGCATAGCGTGTCTTTTCATCTGGC